TACCGGTACGGTACCGTCACCGGCAACGGTACCGCCGGTACCCGCCACCGTCACCGGAAAGGTCGCCGTGTCACCGGTTCCGGGAACCGGTACCGGTACCGCCACTTTCGGTACCGGTTCCGGTACCGCCACTTTCGGTACCGGTTCCGGTACCTATTTTTTGGTACCGGTACCGGTATAATTTTTTTTTTTGATTTGAAATGCAAAAAAGTTTAAAAAAAAAGGTGGGGGGCGAAACAATTGCATTCTTTCCTTAAACAATTGCAATTTTTAAACAATTGCAATTTTACAATTGCAATTTTTTATAATTTAAAAATTAAAAAAAAAATGGGGGGGGGGGCGAAACCGGCCGGTCCGGTACCGGAACCGCCGGTCCGGGAACCGGAACCAGAACCGGTACCGGCCGGCACGGTATACTATCCGGTTACTCAGGGTGGCGGTACCGGAACCGGCGGTTCCGGAACCGGAACCGTCCCGGAACCGTACCGTGTCCACCCCTAGTCCAGGTGTTCGCTTTCGGGTCTTTCTTATTACCCGTCGCGTAACCTTCCCCAAGTTCTCCTTTCAAGGCCATCTCCTTGAGCACAGCCTTGACATTTCGGCAATTCGCCGTGTTGTGGGAATCGGATTGGTGGTATGTGCACCACTTCTCCGTCCATTGTCTCTTGGGTTGCTCTCCCTTCTTATCATCCCTTATTTGGTGGATGGATCCGTCATATGTGGCCTTTAGTTTGGACCCTCCTGTCTGCTCCTCCTTTTTTAGCTTGTCGGATTTCGACTTTGTGTAGCCTTCTTCCAGCTCCCGCTTATTCTTGTTCAGCACTTCTGCCTCGGCATATTCCCATGCCATATTGTAGGCTTCCTGATAAGAGGAGGGAGGCCTCCTATAGAATTCAGTGTAGAGGTCACCTGACCGGAAGGCATTCATCAACAAAGACATGGCCGTCTTATCGTCCATCTCTTCTACCTTGTCAACCTCGTCCCTCCAGCGGGTTAAGAATTGAGTCAAGGTCTCTTTCTCCCTCTGCCCTACCGTGTTAAGGTAGGTAAACTTCTTTCTCTTGATGCAGTTGTCCTGGTACTTCTT